GTCCACGGATCTCGGCTCGATACTCCGAGAGAATCCGCGCTTCGCCTCTTCGCGCAATTCGCCCACCGCTGGATTTCAATTTCAATTCGCCAATTCCACTTTTTCGAAGGAACCGAGATCGAACGAATTCTTAACTGAATTCTCATCAACATCGAAAGAAGAGAGAAGATTAACGAGAGCCAACTAGAGAGAGAGAGAGAGAGTTGATATTTTTTTAGAAATTATAGAGTAACGAGGGAAAGTTAGAAAGATTCCCCCCCAATCGGCGTGGGTTCGACTGGCACCCCCTGCGCAGAATCGGCAGGGTGCGGTGTCGGCCAATGACGTCACGCGGGCAATCTCTCCAACAACCCCCTCCCTCTCCCCCCGTTAGATCCTCCCACATTCTATCGCTCGAGACGCGGCGCTCGTGTCATCGTCGCCGCTTATCGGCGATTCGTTTCGCAGGGGTGATTACCCCGCTCTCTCTTCTAGCTAGTCGCTAATTGAGGCGGAGAGCACTTGCAAAAAACGCGGTCTCCTCTCTCTCTTTCTCTCGAAGAGAAATTTGGAACAGGCTCCTTATCGATCGACACCCTAATCCCTCTCCCATTATCTGCTGCTCCTACGTTCCTTCTCCCTTTCTGAATTCCCATCGAACGAGTCAACCGCTACCCTCTCGATCCTATTTCTATTATTATTTCTACTCGATCGTCGTTTAATACTTCTACTTTCCCGTAGTTTCGCGTAGTTATTTATCGTTGTTACATTATCGGAGGGATATAATTGGAAATAAAATAAAATTCTTGGCGAGCAAGTCCCCAGAGGCAAAAGTGAAATTACAATGGATCGGGATGGCGTGGAGAGGGCAGAGCGAATCGTTAGTTTGTTATTTCGTGCAAGAGGCATTCTCTCCTCCGGTTTTCCATAGTTACAGCGGTGGAAACAAAAGAGCGGCAGGGCGCAGGCCCGCTCCCTTCAAAGGGAAGCTTCGAGAGCAGGGGTAGGCCGCTCTTGTCCAATAATGTCGAGAGTTGTCGCCACCCTCCGGCCGACCGTGCTAGTAACCTCCCCCTTTTTTCGCAGCCAGCCCCGTATGGACGAGGTTGATTCTTTTACGAGGTTCCAATCGTAAACATAATGGAGTAACAATGTGCCGAATTAACTGTGGCGCTGCGCTGTGAAACAAAGGACGAGGACGGACGATTAAAAACGATCTGTTACGCCGTGCAGCGGTTCCCAGGGGCCGTTAACCGGGCCTTAGCTTTTCTTTCGTAACGTGGAACACCGACCATTCACGGTTCCCTTCCAACTTTTAGATTGACATTTCCGAGCCTATTTACATCGTGCGGGTAGTTTATGACGCGGATTGAGGATGATTAAGGCTGAAAGGAGTCATGAACGAAAATGGGACTGATTCACGTACTCACGCGGCCATGCGAACGTTCCTCCTTTTCGATTCATCGGTGATTCGACATCCTCGTTCGTCGAGATTAATCCTCCGAGCCGGAGACGTCTTCGGTGCGAGATGCGTCTCCTCGTACTCGTCCCCTCTTTCCTCGTCCCCCCTGATCGCCACTCTGCAACAAAATGAATTTAGAGATTTAGTGACGAGTTTATTATTATTGATTTTATTATTAGTGATGAAAATAAACGTGTTTTTTATTATCGATTATTAGTGGTTCTGCTTGAAATTCGTCAATTACGGATACAATTTTCGTTCTACGATCGAGGATAAAACGTTCGAAAAATATGACGAGAAATTAATCGAAAAACGTCGCGATCCAGTGACGTGATTTGTCATTGTTTGTAATATCGTTCGTAAAAGTGTCTTAAGTAGAAACAAATAAGAGATACGCGTTTATCTTGAAGGAAATCGAAACATGATATGTAGACAGATATATATGCGACAAAGATATACGAGTTTGTCTTTACAAATATGCTCGATCTCGTGTCTAGAATTAATTAATATTTCTTTAGGGATTAGGAATTATGGGACGCAAATAAGCACCGTTGAACACGATGAAAATAATAATTTCGCTCTTCCAAAGTTTTTTTTTAATTTCTCTCGAATTTTAATTTAATCGCGAGAATCCTTTTCGATTCGAGATGAGAGATGCAGCTGACACGACCAAACGGTACGAATTACGAATTTGGTTCGGTAACGATAGCGGTTGATTCGACTCGACGAGAGTCCAACAAGGCAGGAAATTTAATTTTCGTTTTATCTCGCGTCACCTGCGATCCGAGGGAATCCCGCTTTTCACCCCTGATTCGGAAATCAGGTAACAGGCGTTTGCTGGAAAGTAGAATGTGGGAAAAAGAGGTCGCGGCCCGTTAGGTTTCTCTTCGAGCGAAAGGGTTGCTGGCGTAACCCTCCCAACGAAATGGGTCAGGATACCGATCGTTTCCTTAAAGACCCGTTTAGCCGCGTGTCCGTAAAATATCGTGTTTCCTTCTCGAGACGAGATTTACCTTTCCTCTCATATAGATTTACCTACGAAATACGCTATTCACATTTCACCTCCACGTGGATACGTTGGCCTCGCTTAATGGCCAAAGATGATATAGCACGATGATGATAATAATGATAATAATGATAATGATAATTTCAGCTAAGAATCGAAGTTTCGAAAATTCCAACGAGTCACGATTTTTTTTTCCAGCGTTCTCGTTAGCTTTGCCGAAGGGTTTCGAATATCAGGAAAGAAGAAGGGGTTTGTACCGTTCCGGCGTGTCCGTGTGAGAAAACCATTAGCCGAAAAAGAACCTTTAAATAACGGGCTACCGGGTTCAGCCGCCGCCGTTGGCCGGAGGGGTGGATCGAGAGAAAAAAAAAAAAAAAAATCGGTACTTTCGATTCCAGGTAGCCAGGATTCGATGGAAATATCTTTCCACGTTGGGGGGAGGGAAGGACATAAAGAAAGAGAGAGAGAGAGAGAGAGAGAGAAAGAGACATCAACGGACACCTGGAAACGCGCGCGGAGGAATCGACGAGATCGTGAATACGAAAAATTTTTAATCTCGATTCGATTCGTCCACGCGCGAAATGGAACGAAAATATTATTCGACGAGTAATCGTTTCTTTTTTTTTTTTTTTTTTTTTTTTTTTTTTTAAGTAAAAGTGAGAAGCGTAAAACCGAGAGAAATTTCTCCACGAAACTGGCAGCCGCGTCACGAAAAGTTGAACGTTCTTCGTGGCGCGGCACGAGGTTTAAAAATATCGCGGCTCGGCCCTTCGAGCGGGAGAAATATGAATTTTTTATCTCTCCCTCGCGGACCATATGGCCGGTGCTCATCTCCGCAGAGGGGTGGAAAGACAAAAAAGCGGGTCGAAGAGAAAGAGCGGGTCGAAAAAAGCGGAGGAGCCGCGGTATTTTTAGAATAGAATTTCCAAGGTGGTTTCCGTGGTTCGGTGCGACAGCCAGGAAAGAGGAAAGGGTTGGTGCATCCTTCTTTTTTACTCTCGCCATCCCGCTCGCCACCCCGTCGTTTCCGCGTCTAAATTCTTCTCACCCTTTCCCTCGCCGAACCCTCTCTATTTTCCCTTTTCAGACTCGAGCATCCTTCAGCTGTCACCGCGCCTCCGTTCCTTCTTTACTTAATTCTCTCTTCTTTTTTTCTCTTTCTTTTTTTTTCCCTCCTTTCGATCGGAAGAAACTTCATCTTCCCCAGAAGCAAAGTTCGAATCTTCCCTTCTCGAACAGCGACGGTGGAGGGGATCAAAAGAAACGATTATCCAGTTAATCGATTAATTGCCTTCTTGGAAAACTATTCGCAGTCGGAACAAAGTCGGTCGGATCTCCACTCTCATCGTCAAAGAAAAGATGATTCGAACGTCAAATTTTTATTATCGAATATTCTCTTTCGAGATTCGAGAACGACTAGGAACAAAATCCCCTTGTCAACAACAACAACAACAACTTTCCAACCTCCTCCCATCACGGAGATGGAGTTAAAAG